AAGAAGTGTGAGGGGTAAATAGAATGTGTACAATTATGAAAGACATTATGTAAACAGTTTTGAATATGTAGAGTATTGTTTGAATACGTCACTGTTGTAAAACCGTAATGAATTGTTTAACGATTGTTAAAATTGTTTTGGGACTTAGCGTAGGAGAAAACTAGATAAGCATCAACTTACCTCCTGTCTCTCCTTTCTCGGCTCCTCTCTAGTTTGCTTTTTCTTTGTTGTTGACCTCTTTTCAGTCCCTTTTTTTTTTCCGGAGCTCTTTGTCTTTCCTTCTCACGTCGCTCTTCGATAGATATTCGCAGTTTCAAATCAGTCTTTTCATGTCGTCTTTAGCGTTTCTCTTGCAGTGTAATTACCGAGAATCAATGAAGCTTTCAACTACGAACTGATCAGTATGACTTTCCGCTCAAAACGCCAAATTCCTTTGTTTGCGCTGCTTAAACTCTGCTAGCCCACGTGAAGCCCTCTGTAATCAGTAACCAGGTGCCCGCGGTACGCTGCACGAACTCTGGTAAATGCGTACTTTATCACTCTGTATCTAAGCTTCTTGGTGCGCCCGATTGGGGTCTCCAAGTTAGGCACGCAACCGCACATGTGCATAGCCTCCTCCATTTGTCTTTTACTTACGTAATAGCTAGATGAAATTTCCCTCGCGAGGGGGGCGAGGGCGAGGGCGAGGGCGAGGGCGAGGGCCAGTGTTATCAGGCCAGACAGGCAACAACCAATCAAGGAGCCCTCTCTGAAATACTATAACCATTTTCTCTTATTCAATTTATCTTCACTTATTCGAGATCCCAATACATCTCTGGTTAAGGTCTATTGGAGATGCGATAGAGTTTCATTATGCCTTTCGTAGTAAAATTGCGTGGAATTATATTTTTGAGGAAGCTAACTTTAGACGAATAATGTAAATTTCCTCTCTGTCAGAGGAACGCCAGTAAGGGTAGTCTGTTTTACAACAGTTATTTGGTCACGTCCCGCAACGCGCTCGCTCTCGAACTGGGAATAGAGCGAGACCAAACAACAGCTCCGAAGGACCCAAAGGTAAGCGTGGTACCGATGCATTTTATTTTCGCTCAAAAGTTTTTTTTATACAGTAGAGACAACAGACCACAAAAAACCTGTGTGAGGTCAGATAAATTAGGTTTTTTTTTTCTTTTCTGTTAAGGAGAAGTAATGCGATATTTTCGTTATTTTAAAAGTTATGCTCTTTTTCTGTTACAAAACTGAAACCGTTAAGAACGCAGAGTCCCATCACAACCCTCCAAGTCAAAATAATAAGTCTTGCATAATAATAATAAGTCTTGTAACCCGTACTAACCTCGCTATAGAGTAATGGTTGTCGACCGAAATGTCCGCCATATTCTAATTAGTTTATTATGTTCACTGCACATTTTGCATTGCATCGAAATTAGAACCTACAACTTTATAGCTCAAACAAGCGGATATTAAAATAAAATAGAATAAACACAGAACTGATTCCGCTATGCGAAGAAAAAATAAATTTGCAAGTCTTTTGTATTCGTTTTATAAAACGATAATTGGCATGTATCTCAACAGACATGAGTCCCTGGCATGGCTCTTTGCAAAAGATAACGCACTTCACGTCATCACACGTTGTTATCAAAAAAGGCAATTGGACTGATGTTTCTTCGCAATTGGTATTCACCATCATTTTGTTCAATCAAAACAATAAATTAACTACATGAAAATAACTGATAATTGAAAGTTTACTGTTATTACTGGTAACAGAACCATCTGCAATTTTCCTCTGCTCACAAAGCTAAAAGTTAGACATATGTATCGTGAAATCGTTAATTGATATCGTTTCAAACATATTTTCATTCATTCAAATGTTAATGTAAACTTGATTCTGACTGTCAGAGGGTTTATGTAAATCCTTTCCACAAACGATATCAAATAATGTTTTTATGATGCCTAAGGACTTCTGTTGCCGTTAGTTTCCTCAAAATAATATTAAAGAAAGCAAACAAACAGAAAAAACAAAACAAAACAACAACAAAAATAACAACTTACCCTCGGAAATCTCACAAATATAACCGTGGTCATATTCAAAACGTCTGCCATTAACACCACCAAACACGCCCTGCTCCCCATTACTGGACCGCTTGTACATGAAAGCCGCGTCGTGTTCACCTCTTGGCTCCCCTTGTTCCCATTTGCAAATAGTCAGCGGTCTTCCATTCACCCAAGTCCAATTCCCGGCCTTTTTTGTTAAACCAATACTCCACTTATTTTCATAGCGCGTAATATCTCGCCTTTGAATCTGGTCATTGATGAAATTCCATTCGTCTTCGGTTTCAATGGAAACTAGGTCCCCTCCTTGGTTTTGGCAGGTTTCTCTGTTCAAGAGCCAGGACTGGCCCATTTTGCGCACCGAAATTATGTACCAAGAGTTTTTAAAAGTTATATTTAGGCATTCTACAAAATGATAAAAATAAAAGCAAAAATACTAATTATCATAATGATAATCAAAGTGATAAATAATAATAATGATGATGACATAAAAAGATTAAATCACAATCACAATAAAGGAGAAAAATAAATGAGAAAGAAAACGGGACTTATTTTTCATACAATTCCTTTTTTTTTTTTACAGTTTTATGATTTTTTATATGATTCCTGTTTTTTTTTTTTTTTTTTTTTTTAACACCTCCAGTTTATGTTTGATCATTGTCAATTAATACTATACATCTTTCTTCCTTACGGCGTCCGCCATCTCTAACCTGCTTTTCTGAATTAGTTAACTTCACATCAGCTAAGATTATCTGTGAGTTCATGTAATTTTGGTAGTCGAGTTTTTGAAAATTAATTATTTCCTTGTTGAGCTGACACCACCCTCACCCCGCCCCCTATTCTTCCTCCCCCATCTGAACAGACTTAAAAAACGTAAAATTAAATGTGAATGTAAGTTCTTATAAATGTGCAACTGGAGATACGCAGTTCACCGCATACAGTTGTTATGGGAAAGGTTGTGGAAAAAACAAAAACAAAAACAACAATTTAAAGTACATGCGACAAAATCAAAAGATTATCTAGGTGGCGGTGATCAACATTGACATGTAAAGTAAGTAAAGATAAATTAATTAGGGTTTCCTTGTGCTTTTTTTCCGTTTTTCATGCAGTTTGGAATTTAAAGTCAGTCGTATTAAAAACAGGTTCAAACCCGTGATGACTCGTCCTTAAAATGACATTTTCTCAGATTTCCCTGAAATCCTGAGGTCGTCTGACCATGACCTGAAAGCCACCCACAATACCTGTCAAGGTTATCGCTTGCACTTCTGACACGCTTTTTCCCGAAAACTTCTTCCAAAAGAGCTGTATTTATTATTTGTTTTTCTAAGAGGGCACGGTAACGAGTCCTGCAATCTTTGGTCCGGATTTTCTTTTGTCTGCTCAGCGGCACTGCAACGCTTGCTCGAGTCGCTAGCTACAACCTTAGCTTCGTTGCCTTTTTTCATAAATATATTTCGCTTTGCCAGCTGAGAAGTATTTTTACGTAAATCACTTTAAAGCAAATCAAGCTGATTAATTACTTACTAATCCTCTCCTTCTCTTTCTCAAGTCACTGTGGCTGCCAGCAAAAATAATGGTTTTGAAATGATTTTTGGTCGCAAATATGCCATTAAATGGGTTGACACGCGGCATAAAAACCGTTTGTAATTAACCTAGACCTTCACTATAAGTAACTCAGGAAGTTAGAACGTAACGTATTTGTTTAGAATTGAATTAATTGATGGGGTTTTCATTCATTTTATATCTGAATTCGTCCAAACAATTTGTTCATTAAAAAACATTGAGCGATATCTTCAGTTCTATACTTTAAATACGCTTTCGGTAAGTCTTTGCAAGTCCGCTCAATATGGACATTTTTACCGTAAACTTCACAACAGAAAACGAAGGAATTCAACGAGAAAAAGCGGCATTAAAATTCCACTTTTGACAAAAGACCAGATTTACACACGCGATTGCACCAAGTAAACGAGCAAACTCCCTCAATCTCGAAACAGATTTAAATTTACTTACAATTACTTTCCATTTACTGACTGAACAGAGCTATACTTCGTTCTTCAATAGTCGATGGAAGTGAGTAATACTTTCTGTAAGATCATTGACTGTTTTTAAAGAAAAAATTCCCGTGACAGACATTGAACTTAAGTTTGTTTGCCAAACCAGTGCCGTTGATGTTGTTGTTGTTGTTTTCTTTTTTAAAACGTGCATGTGCTTTTGTTTCTTACACGCTCTCTACTTTACATGTGTCAGGTTGTGACAGATACCTGTTAAAAAAAATGTTTCAAAGTTTGTTTGGAAGCCTTTTAAATCACCTTTTCCATTACGCAAATAAAAATATTTCGGTAAAGCCTCTATTTAATTTGCATTACCTCAGTCTGTTTCAATTACCATTTACTCGTTCAAAAATTGTTCAGTTCATGGAGGATCTTGCCGTAATTAGAGCCCTAAATCATTAGGGTTCTTTTGGAAAATATTTCGTTGAGTTTAAAAGAAAAAGAACTGTTATTCATAAGCTAAGGTCGGGAAAAACTGTGCACTCTGTCTTCAGTACCGGTACTCAAGACCTTGGGCATACGTACTTCGATGCGTTATGTTTAAAAGAACATGGATTGTAACTTGTGGCAAGGGAAAATTCCGTTGGTTAGATTATCCCAATCTCAGCGCGCTCGACAAAAGTTGTGAAATGTACAGTTTCCATCGCTGTTTTTCCAGCTGCAGGCGATGCAAAAAAAGGGAAAATCCCAGGGTGATCATTTTTTTTCGAAACATATGTCCCCGTTTTTGTCATGGCCATTATGTTCAACTACTGATACACGCTTAAAAGTTCATTCATCGCTCACACGTACAAGTTAGGTGAGCCGAGCATATTATGTGAACAACATTTTTACTTTTAAGAAGCAAGAGAAATTTTCCTGACACAAGTGCAAGACTGCTAATGTTTCAGAACATAATATACTTCATGGTTGGAATGTGATCTTACCTCCGGGCATCTCACAAATGAAGGCGTTTTTATCACCCTGAGAGATACCATTAAAGAGGCCTCCATTCTTAGATATTTCCGCGTACTTGTCGTTACCATCTGGCTGAGAATCTCGCCATTTCGAAATATTTAGTTTTTCTCCACTCTCCCAAGTCCAAACTCCGCGATTCTTCTCTAAACCAATGTGCCACGCACTAGTATTCGAAGTACCACGCTTTTGAATCTCATGACTGATAAACTGCCATTCTTCTTGAGTTTCGATGGAGACTAAGTAACCTCCCTGTTTGTAACAGACAATCCTGTTTTGATACCAATCTCCTCCGCTTTTCGAAAATATGTAGGATGAGTTTTTGAAACAGGTTGCTTGGCACTCTATGGGAAAAAATTAATGGAATACATAAACGAAAAAAAAATGTATACTGATTAAAACAATAGTGATAATTCTGATCATGGAGACAAAGGAATAAATAAATAAACGAAAAAATGTATACTGATGATAACAATAGTAATAACGATAAAGATGGAGAAGAAAAAAAAATATACCATTAACGATAAAAAAACAATGGGCATCAAAACCCTCTACCTCACCGAAGGAAAAATTAGAATTAGGCAAGGTTTTAAAAGTGGAAATTGGGGAAATCAGGGCAATAGCAGCGTTAGTCTTTGACTTTTTTGTTTTGCTTTCCAACTAACGTTTTTAATCGCAAAACGATGTCATTGCAGCAGGAAGTCTACGACTAATCATTTTGATAATTCATTAAGACCCTTTTTTTTACAGTTTTTTTAGAGATACATAAATATTAAATTGTAATTACACTGCCTCACCTGTTCCTGGCAATTCCATCATAAAATGAAGGATGACTGTAGAAGAGAAAATGGGCAAAGTATTTGATTGTTATGTTGAAAATAACATTTGAAACAACAAAAGAGTTTCTCAGATTTCAGGTTAGATTAGTGCTAAAGCATTTCATTCGCTACATGCGCCTTAAAATCTAACCATGACTTTTTTACCTTCCCTAAGGAGCTGACTGAGGAATTAAAAAAGAAATGCAGTATCTCCGCAACCAGTCGAACAAAACTTGTTACATATCGAAAAAATTTTTAAGGATACGGTTGACCTTCGCGAATGTTCAAGGGATTCGTTTGGTTGTCGTTACTCGCAGACGTAACTTGGAAAGTATTATGTAGTGGGCAAAGGAGATGAACTAAAACCGAGCTAAATTGCCCTGAACCAGCCACAAAAAATTCACAAGATGTAAAAGAACAAACACTTGGGCGGTGAAATTTGTACCTATTCAAAACTAGTCCAGATCTTTAAATGTTGAGAGCACGATTGTTTATTGACATTTGAATACTTATATTTCACCAACCCATTGTTAACGAGAACATATTTGCAAATTCGCCGATGCTCCCTATGGGAACTTGGGTGTCCTGTGGTTGGACGTCAAGGTAGATAGAAAAAAATAATGAAAATAATAAAAAATATATATAATCAAACAAAAAACAACAAAAAAGAACTAACAAACATATTTCTCTTATAACATTATCTTCTTTATACCCGAAATCAAAATCTCGAACAGCGTTAAGGTATTTTAGTATTTATGGCTTTTTTTTCATCATAACGGTTCCGCAAGTTCCGCTGGTTCCAGAGATTGCTAAGGTTCCACAGTCTGCTGATATTCAATCTATTAACACCCCATAATGTTCTTGTTTGCTTGGTTTTTTTTTCTTTTTAACGTCCAAAGTAATTGCGGGAGATTCACTTCGAAAAACGAAACCCCACCGGGTTTTGCGGTTGGTATGCTACGGAGTCCGAAAACCGAATTTCAAGGCAAACCGTATGGTTTACATTCTCTATTATCGCGTAGTGACAAGGCATGTTTTTTTTTTCTTTTTCCTTCCAAAGTTATATTAATAATTCACGCCTTTAAGTGACTACATGCCAAGTTATGTCAACACTCTAAATTTTTCGCAATGCCGATCGCCAATAGAAACACAGAAGTGTCCCTCGTTGTCTCGGGAGACTGTCAGCAAAAACATATTTTGCGGGTAATAGTTGCCCTTACCAGACCGTAGTTACTTAATCTGCTGACCGGAAATTTGGATTGAACTTTTTTTTTTTTTTTAACTCAAAAGCAGCTTGAGCTCGCTGCGGTAGAACTCGTTAATGGTTGCTGACCGTGTGCGCGTCGCTTCAACCACGATCCCTTATCTGTTTCGGTGAGTTTCTTCAACCATTCCTAATCGAGTTTCCTCGATAATTGTGCTTAGAGCCAGGATTCTTTTTAAGTTTCATCTTAGAAATCTTCCCTTTTTTTATCTTTCGCCATTCACAGGCTAGTTTTAAACGCAGACAAATAGCAAAGGTCTCAACATGCAACCGAAATCATATGTTTACATGATGGATGTACTTCCAACAGGAAGTCTATGACTGATTATTGTTATAAACTCGGGAAATATTTTTTTTTTGCAGAACATTTTAAGGTACATAAACTGCTAAATTTGGAATTACACTACCTCGTTGTTCCTTGCAATTTCATTTCAAACACTGAAATAGTATTGGCAAAATATCTTATAGCATCTAGTCAGTTTTTATTTGTTGCATTTTAGCATCGGTTTTGACGTTTTCTTTTACCTTGGAAGGCTAACGTTGAAAATCTAAAACATAAAGCAGGTCGGCATCATGTCAGCCTGAAGAAGCTTATTGACTGCAAAAATGACTCTTATCAAATGAAAAGGAGTCGAATACAATTCCGCCCCTAAATATGTGAAGACTTGAGGTAAAACGTCAACTGACCGAACAAACCCTAACTAAGAATGGGAAATTCCTAGTGATATTCTCCTGTTGTTATTCTAGCGCTAATTCAAGGAGTTTGATTGTTTTGCCGCCGTTACAGAAAAGGAAGCAAACTTTTTTCTTGAAACGGTCGAGCACCTTTACGAGAGAGATGAACACTTGCCACTTGACTTGCGTCTCTCTTTGTTTGAAGCGGCCGAGGGTAGCAGGATGCCCCGATACCGACATTTCCCATCATTCATTTCTTAATTCATTTTTTAATTCATCATCTTCTTTGTTTCTAGAGCATAACCAGGAGAAGTAGTAAAGCTTGTACTTACTTAGCGCACAACGTAAAGACAGGGCTGTGGACATTTTGCTGGTTTGAATCCCACGCATCGCAACACTTATCAACTTACTCAAATACAAGTTGCCGTTAGTATATGTCGACACCCTTATAATGATTCGTGACTTAACAAAATCACAAGAGCGGCAGATTTCAGACAACGTCTTTGCAACTATTTTGTAGGACGTGAGCGTAGTAAACATCACATTCGACAAATTTTTGCTGACATAAGCCGCGAAAGTTCTATTTTTCCACTCGTAAACGGACCAATGAGACTAAAAACTCTTTGCAGCAGATGCAGAATGCTGTTTATTTAACAAATACAAGTAATTTACGACACGAAAATAGTTTCAGCAAGATGACTTATATATCTTAACAAATGTTCTTATGGTAGACAAGAATTGCAAAAAATTACGTTATTCAAGTTGTTGTTTCATAAAATTGGAACAAATTCCCAGCGATAATCTGGATCTGATTTGTTGGCTCGAAGATATTCTTCACTAAATGCAATTTAAATAAACTTCAGGTTGGTATTCCACAAATATTTACCCAAACTTATCCAATCAATTTGTGCGACTCGAATATATGCCATTTTTCTGACCAAAACAAAAAGGATAATGTTACGAAAAAAGAAATCGCCATTTCGGGCAACATTTTCTCAAGGATATGAAAAAAAAAAAAAAATATATATATATATATATATATATATATATATATATATATATATGATAATAATGATAATCATAATAATAACAGTAATAAAAGCCGTTCTCCAGGTAAGTAGTGCACGTTTACACGATTTTGTTTGTATAGTAAACATTGCGATTAGGACAACGAAGTTCCAGTTCAATTACCTTCTCTTTCTTAAATTACTTTTTATTCCAGCGTTGAAAAAGCTCGTATTAGTAACAACATATGTTACGCCGACAAAGCTCTCTCAAGTGTTCAACGGAAAGGATATGTAAGGCCCTCTGATGAATGTTTAACCCAATAATAGTCTCATCAATTAATTTTTATATCGCAAGAGATCAACAAGCTTTGAGCTTGCTTTCCATCGCACAGAATGCCGCCACACATGATGTCTCGCACGCTCGGACTTGTTAATTCGAAAGTAGCTATCATCAACTAAATGGATTGAACAAAACTATACCTCTTTTTAATCAAAATATGAATAATTAAATAACTGTTCCCTCAGGCGTAAACCTGTTTTAGGCGGGCGCTTAGCTGTTTGTTTTTCTCTCGACGCTTTTGTAATTCCTTGATTTTAAAACGACTGTGAATATATGACTACTACTCTACTCTTTTTGGAAACAAGGAAGATTAACTTCTATGTAGTTATTAAGTCATCAAAAAAAAAAAAAAAAAAAGAAGCGGACTACAACAGTGCATATGTGAAGTAAAACGAGCGACTCAGGCATCGCACTGCTCAGAATGATCCTAAATGATTGAGCCATTTTTTTGCGCCTTAGCGCAGGTTGTGAAACACCTGTTCGACATGGAACTATTTCGATAATTGACGTAACGTTTTTACCAACAGGAGTTTGTTAGTCTTCTATTGAGTCAAATAAAAATATTGCTGTTGACGAGAATTGGCAAAACGCTTCAATAACAATGCGGCCCGCCTTTAATTAGTGCGCGATGGTTAACTCTCACAACTTGGGATTTACTTCAAGCACCTAACCGTTGATTGACAACAGCTGAAATCTGCAAGTGACTCAAGTATTCCCAAAACAAATTCTGTTGACCAGTCACAGCTGTCTAGCTCTAGACATACCAACTGATATTCCGCTCGATGTTAATTGGGCACGGTAAGTACATGTCGCGAAAGACAATAGCATTCTGTGCGAGGCAAGGCCTCCGAAATTTGAAATACCCCTTTAAGTTTTATGTTACGTTTACAGCCTTTTCCTTTGCAAAAGTATTTGAACTAGTGAAACTCGGTACTGAAAGTAATATGCAGCCAAAATGATCAGAACTGGAAGAACATGCCGAATAAACATGGTTCAGTTGGTTTTACGCGTACCTGAGAACCAAGAACGTGCTCACAAAAGCTAATTGGGGAAAATGAGAAGCTATCACTTCTCCAGGAAGCGCCATTTAGCTTACCACGGACGTGAAGGGTCTCCCCATGGTGGCGGCTCACAGTGTTTGAGCCCTTTGTTGACATTAGGGAAATCAATTAAGTTTTCGAGGACGCGTGAAGTGCTCCTTATTGGGATCAGTCATGACTTATCCCTTGAGAGGGGGGAGGGGTATTAGGGCGGGATCCTGCCTGCAAATAATTCAATTTAATGTTTGAATTCAAGATAAAACAGAAGTCTTGCAGAGTTCTCATTCCAGATTAAATTGAGGTGAGAACATCAGTAAACAAGTTAAAATCTTATGCTTCTCCTGCATCTTTAATTTTATTGCCCTAGTTTTTTTTTTCACAAACCTTTTTTATATCTGTGTGTGACAGCGAATGATTAAAACCTCAGTGAGTAGAGAAAGTTTTTAAAGCTGATAGAAATAAGATGTTTGCAAGTATTACCTTAATGCTTAACATGCTTCACTCATACATGTCAGTTGTGCGTACCTACCATTGTAGAGGTGTATCCCCCAGAGGTTTTTTAACACAAGGCAACCTCCAGGGTGGAGGATTAGAAGACCATAGAATGATGTTTACTTGGCATTTGAACTTACTACAATCATATATTAAAGCAGTACTCTACCTGATTACATG